ATATACCTGAAACCGATAATATACCTTATATGCTGACAAATTAATGAACCAATAAAGTTTTTTTCTAAAAAAAAATCCTCCGACTGTGTGATCTATTTAAAAGCTTTTTATGTCCCTATTTTTTTAAGTAAGTCAAATTACAGAATGGTACGACCCAAACTTGGGCAAAATCCAGAAAAAGGAGGGGGAAGGGAGGGAAAGGAATGCTGTTAAAAAATCAGAAGAGAACACATCTTAAAACTATAGGGGCAAAAAAGACTATATAGGGGCAAAAAAGACTCTGTTTTGCTGGTAGTGAAAAATGGTAAAAATTTTCGCTAAAAATAATGAAAATATCACTTTTTTTGCCTAAAAAAACTGGTTTCGAAATGTTAATCAACTTCTAAATCCCCCTTCCCACCACCCGCAAAAAAAAACTCTAAATTTTACTTTCTGCAGGAATTGGCCGAGGCCAAGAAGTAAGTGAGAAGTCTAGAAGTAATTTGGCTAATAAGCATCAGCTCTAATTTCTCTACTCCATCGCCCTTTGAGCACAATTTAAAACAAAGCATAAATTATTTAATCATGAAAATTTTTATCGTGTTTATTCATGATAATTTTTCATGATCAAATAATCAAAGTTTCATGTTTATCCGCGTCAAATTCTCTTGGTTAAATAATCAGGAAAAATTTTTCCATGCTTATTCGTGTTAATTTCTCGTGGTTAAATAATTTTGAAAATCTCCTTCATGCTTATTCATAATAATTTTTCATGATCAAATAATCATGAAAAACTTATTTCTCGGTTCGAATTGAACTTTTCAAATTTAAAATATCGTTTAAGTTAAAAAAAAGACGAATCAAACCTAAAAATTCAACCAAAAATCTTAACATATCTTTAAGATACCTGTTTAATCAGCACACATAGTGATTCGAAGACATAATGAAGATGCACTGGATCAACTGGATTTTTCACTGCAACAGCAATCATTGTGGCCAATTTATCAACAATTTGGCCAGAACTTTTAGCTGTTTCCACCTAAAAACAACAAAAAAAAAATTTCATGTGAATAATGAACCAAATAATTTACTGAAATTGCTGTTTACCCCTCAAAATCTCTCTTGAAGAAGCTAAAAACTTTAAACTTACTTCTTAACTCAGTATTAACTCAAAATCTTTAAAAAAGACCTCTAATTCAAAAAAAGTAAATTTTTTCAAAATTTTCTTTTTTTTGATCCAAAAAATTAAAAAAAAGGCTAAAAACAAATTTTTCAACAATCACGATGCTTCCAAAAATCTTCTCCGGCACATGACACTAAAGACCAGTCCTTCTATTCTACTATTTTCAAGATGAATGCAAATTAAAGGTCACATAACATATACTAAAAATACTTGAGCGGGTAAAAAAGGTACGTTAACACGCATGATATTGGCAAGAGGAGCGACAGAGGTGACAAGCTAGCAACAGAAATCAAAAGAAAATGCCTATTTTCTAAAGTTGAAAAAAAAGACCAAAGAATTGAGAACTTACATCGATGATATTGAAGCAACGCATCAGAGCCTTCATCAGGTAATGCGAATTTCGCGCCCTTGAAGATGCCTCAAAACATGCGAACAGTGCAACAATCAGTGGGCCAACTGGTACATTTTCTCGATTTATGAGAATCTTCAATTTTGAAAATGATAAGCAATTTGCATATCTCCAAAAACGTATACACATATCTGTGCACACACACACACACACACACACATACACACACACACACACATACACACACACGTGGCCACGCACACACACATACACACATACGCACACAATCACACACATACACACAATCACACACACACATACACACACAAACACACACACAGAGAAACATAGACTCGCTACGCCAGCTCTATCACAATTTCCGTGAAAATCCCCTCCATATTCACTCTCATTTAAAACTGCGACAATCGAGGAGTTGTCAGAATCGTAACCAAATGCCAACAAGCAGCTACCCCCTGGCAAAGCTGTTAATGACCCCTCTTTCTCCAGCATTTCTTAGAATCAAGCTGATGGCGGGTTTGACTCTCCGGCATGCACCAGTACCAATTTACCATCGAAACGAATGAACCGATCGTAGAAAACCTCACTGACGGGATGGAACCACCACCCTTCCGTAAGACAGGGGCGCTTATTCCCCTCATACACTTTTCTTGCAGCTGATACAGTCTGATCTACGCAGGAAAACCTCAACTACAGTCCATGAACCTTAATCCCTCCTCCCTCCCGTTCCTCCGTAACCCCCCCCCCCTTACCAAATGTATTTTTTCATGTGGAATTTTTCCAGCAAAAAAAAAAAAAAACTCGCCCCTTCTGTTCCTTTGCGTTTTACAAGCATAAGCCTTTCCAAAGCATAGGCAGTGTACTGATGAATAATTGCATGCCGTGTGGTGAGCAACTTCGGTGAAGCATTGACAATTTCAATCAACTGCTCTGGCTGTAGCTGATTCCGAAATACCACAACATATTTCAGCGCATCAGCTTTCAGGATTGGTAATGCATTAACATCATCATGGAATAAGTCACCACGTACGTGCGTCTGATAGAAATCCACCACATTTACCTGGAAAATGATTTTGTTAAAAAAATTGAGTATGAAATAATAAAATGATAATAATTGATAGTGATAATAACAGTGCTAATAATGATAGTAACAATGATAAAAACGATAGCAATAATGACAATGATAACAATAATAATAACAATGATAATAATAATAATAACAACAACGATAATAACAATAACAATAATGACGATAATAATAATAATAACAATAATAATAACGATAATAATAATAATAATGGTAATAGTAATGATGATAGCAATGATAATAATAATCAAAATGACAACGATGATAATAACAACAAAAATAATAATAATGGCAATATTAATAACGATAATAATAATGATAATAACAATAATAACAGTAATAACGACAATAACAAAAAAGAAAGAACGACAGGGGAAGTGGGAAGAAATAAATGGCAACGCGCACCAGACTGGCCGATGCGATCATGCGTTTTGTGCAATTCAGCCCATCGAATGATTGCCCGTTAATGATTTTCACTGCTTTGTACTTTAGTCTGTGCAAAAATAGTTCAGATATTGGAAAACAGTTAAAAATTTCACGCACCAGTGCATGAAAGCTGAATTCGAAACCTTGAAGGATG